ATAAGTTTGATTTACCTTTTTATGTGGTTCACGCTAACACATTGTGACTTATCAAGAAAAAAAAGTCCTTATCAAATGCCAGTAACATTACTGTAGACATTTTAGACCATAGAACCATGAACTAAATAAATCTTTATCCTTCATAAATTCTTAGTATGTTGTAAACTCATACATAACAACAAAAGTGAAGTAAGCGCTGTCATGACTGAAACTACTTTATTTCAGTGCTGAGGGTAAGGCATGATGTATAAAAGGCACTCATTTATGAATGAAGGAAATATCGTTTAACTGTTTCTAAAGTTCTAAAGTTCTAGGGTATTTTCCTGAATATCAAATACTTTTCCATTATCAGGTTGGAATATACAATTATGAAATTTCACCTCTTCATTCACCTGAAAAAACAAAATTCTTATCCTAAACATATATTTATATGAAATATAGGTTGAAGCAGAAGTTACAATATATATGGATTTTATTATAGTTATTTATTTAATTTCAATGTCAATAATGATTTGCCTTTGTGTAGTACTTTGAAAATTTATCAAAATAGGGGGCTGAAGAGTTGGTTCAGCAGTTAATTCTTAGCATTCACATCTGGAGGCTCACAACTGCCTTAACTACAGCTCCAGGGGATCTAGTGTCTTTTTTGGATCTCCTGAAACACCTGCATGAAGCACGATTAATAAAAACCCAGAGAGAGAAATTGGGGTTCAACCTGAAGGTCAGAAAAGTAAAATAGCCAGTCACTGTCTTTTATCTCTACTTCAGTCCGAAACAGCAATTCTGCCTCCAGGAATTTCAGAATGAGACTGTGAGTGAAAGCTGTCTCCTCCCATTTTATAATCCTCTCTAGGGATGGGATTAAAGGCATGCACCACCTGGTTTCTATGGCAAAATAATGTGGCTACTGGGATTAAAAGTATGTGTTACCACTGCCTGGTCTATAAGGCTGACCAGTGGGACTGTTTTATTCTCTGATCTCCAGGCAAGCTTTATTTATTAAAAATACAAATGACAAGCCACTACAGCATATACTCACACAGAAATGTATACATGAACATAAATAAAAATAAACCTTAAAAAATCATCAAGATAATGGATATTTGTATATCTTTTTGTTTTAACATATTCATTCCCTCATAGCACACTGCTTTTATCTGGAAAATATTTTGTACTTCATTTAATACTTGCAAAAAGTTCCCAGTGAGAGGTTTCTCTGATTTCCTCTTTTTTAAAAATTGGAAATAGAGGCTAAATAAACTAAGAGTCTCAAGCAAAAATTACGAGGCTGACCTGTGACAACATTAAAACTGATAACACCTATATCACCTGACATACATACAAATATACTGTATCTTACAATGAGTACAGTACCAAGACTTATGTCTTAATAACCAATGGAATAATATGAACATTTAAAAATAAAGTAAGTCATTTGAAAATTAATGTCCTTTTACTCTAGGAAGGATCCCTAGGCCGAGGTCCTATTCCTGTTATTATTTTTATTTGTATGAAGTAATTTCAAGGAGTTGGAGTGATGTTTCAAAGGCAGTTATTACAACTGACTGAAAGTACAAGTACATAATGGGTACTTAAATATAGTTCAGAACTTCTAATTATTTCTTAATGATCATTTTGATAATTTCCCAAGGAGATCAGGCATAATCAGTGAGCCTAAACTTCCACTACCTCTTGCATATTTTTGGGTTAAATTAAGCCTTTTCTGCAAGCTTAATTAGCATTCAGATGAAGTAGACATCACTTCAAGAGAACAGAGGCTGACAGCATGCTTAAAGCTAGATCGACCCCAACTTATGCCTGTTTCTTGTGCTAATTTGGAGAAAGTGTTGAAAGGCAAGCACTTCAGGTAGAGCAAGATAACTCTCAGTGAGAGTATATGCCAGAAAAATTAGAATTCTTGTTCTGGAGGCTATTCCCAAGGCTAGAGGGAGCATCACAGTACTCAGGATACCTCATCAGAAAAGAGAGATGATACTCACAGAATGGTTCCTTTACCATTAACACCATGAAGAGCTCCTTTGGAGGTGAAACTCCAAAAACCCCACTGTAGAAATGCTGGTTGAGAACCTTTGGAAATCTCAGAAGTCTAATCCTTGAAAAGCTCGGTGGTTATTTCCCGTATGGTAGCACAGCACCTTCAGAAGACTCCCAAGTAGTCTTGAAGGCACACAGACTTTCTCAAAGCAGTTTAGAATATCAGATCTGAACCCTGCCATTACTTCAGTTAATTTAGGTAGCCTCTAAATGAGCATGACTTGTTTTCCTTTTTTATTCTCTGCAAGTCCTTGTGGAAATAGTAAATAAATATCAAATTGAATTCAGCTACCTAAACTTTGGTCAAGTAATAGCTTTTGTTCTCTGTCAATTATCTAGAATCAGGAAAATCTTCATTAAAAAAAAGCAAATCTAAAAACTAAATCAAAACCAATGAGAGTGACTTGCATTCGTCTGCCTCCTCTTTCCTTTCCTCCTAGGTCTGCACTCATTGTTTTTATTATTGGATGAATTTGATATGATAAAATCAGGAAGCTGCATCCATCCACCTCACACTTCCTTAAGCAAATTTGCATTGTTTCAAGGTACAAGCGCTAACGTTTCTATTGCTGTCTCCATAACCAGCCCCTTCAGGCACTGGAACAACTTGAATCTGTTTAAATGCACTAAGCCTATGCCATTCCTGTGTGCCACTGCCCCCAAAGAAACTCTTAAATCGCCCTGTTTCTTTCTTTTATCTTTTCTTCTCTCCCATTTTAATGGGATTTCATTTACATGAAGCATGATTTCATTTCACTTACAATCACTCTGTATTCTACCTGGATGAGTTTATACAAGTTGTACATGCTTGGTTTCCAGTGTGCCAGAATCTCTCCTTCCTTCCTCTGCTATCGTTGACAGCTCCTTCTCAGTCGCCCTGCCCTTTCTCATTCATCTTCATTGATCTCCTTAGTAACACTGGTGCCTTCACAGTTGCAGCCTCAGCCTTCTTTCTCATACCATGCCTCTTTAAGCCAGCTTTCATTATATTCCAGTTGCCAAACATTCACCTTCGATTTCATCTTCTTTCATCTGATTGATTCCACCTATAAGCTGGCATCTCCATCTGATGTATTTGAAGTGTTTCACACCTCATTTGATTTTGTCTTTTCCCACTCTTCTAGTCCCTTATTTGCTTCCATTACTTGAATATGTCAGGCTCTGCCTTATCTCTCAGATCATCGCTGCAACTTCTCATAAAAAATATTAGCCCATCGATTTCCTTTTTCTTTTTTTAACTAAAGGACTGTTTATCTTAAGGCTTTACAAAGGTCACAGCTGACAAACTGACAACTTCTCTCTACCCACTTCCAATATAAATAAGTGCCTCTAGCATTCTGCCTTCCTCTAACAACTTCTGTTTCTCTTTATATAAGAGCACACTTTACAGTTTTTCATTAAATTACATTAATTTTTTGTTTCCTTTCTCTTGCTTCAAGTCAATCTTTCTAATGGCCATATTTTGGAACCAGTTGGAATTTTTTAAGGCTAATATGTGGGACTCATCAGGACCAGCTGAATGTCTATGTGGAACTCAGACTCCTTAGTTCATATGATGCTGACATACTGTGATTTGAACACCTTAGTACTAGACTGTAAACCTCTGAAGGACTTTGGTTGTTTTTTGCTCATTACCCATTATAGCACCTGTCCCTGAATATTAAAAACTGCTTATTGCAGCTGGGAAGTGGTGACATACACTTTAATCCCAGCACTTGGGAGGCAGAGACAGGTGAATCTGTGGGCTCGTAGCCAGCCTGGTCTACAGAGTGAATTCCAGAACAGCCATGGCTACATAGAGAAACCTTGTTTCAACAAATAAACAAATAAACAAAGCAATAACAACAACCTCCCCCCAACACAAACATATAAACAAAGCAATAACAACAATCTTTCCCCAAAAGAACAAACAAACAAAACAACTGACTTATTGTTTGTGGAATACATAATTTAAAATGGTTTTAACACATGTCTTACTATAGTTCTCTACATCCTTCCTGCAGCCACAAATCCCTTCTTCTCTGCCTTTGCCCAAGCCAGTTCTTTTCCATACTCAGGCAATACTGGATTCACTTAAGTTTGTTTACCAAGACTTATTACAGGCTTCTTCTTCAGGAGTCTTCCAGCAGCTGCCCTTGCTTTTGTCTTATAACCTGGTATTTATTTGACACTACTTTTGAATGGAGTAAGTGCTTTTCATCTACACTTACTTGTGAACTCTCCAAGGTCAGAGGTCATCTCCAATTTTTATATTGTTTATTTTCATTTATTTTTATATTTTATTTGTTTTTAAAATTTTATACAAGTATGCATAACATGTTGAACATATCCCACTATACCTCTCTACCTTCCCTTTCTGTTGTATCTCCTATTAGTTTCCTTTGTCCTCCTAGACATTTTACTTCTACTTTAATGTTACATATACTCATACTTTTATGTTCTATTTTCAGATTTTCAGATTTTGATTGTTCACTTCATTATTGAGTTAGTTTCTCTCGATACAAAATTCAGGATCTCCTTGACTCTTGTTTTTGGAAAAGAACTTGCTCTGTAAATGAGGATGGCTTAGAACTCCCTGTGTCGCTCCTATTGAATCTGACCTTGTGATATGCTTGCCTCGTCCTTTCCTGAGTGCTGTGATTATAGACATGTTCTTAATTATTTTTTGAGATATTGATCAGAGATACTGATGTGGTGACATACACCTTTAACTCCAATACTTGAGAGGCAGAGATAGGCAGATCTCTATAAGTACCAGGGTAGACTGGCCTATAATACTGAATTCCAGGCCAGCCAGGGCAACGTAACGAGACCCATCAATCTGTGTAAAAAGACAGACACAATATATGAACAGTTATTATTTCTTCATGGTAGAATTTCATGCTTGAGGTTTATATTTTCTATTTAAGAAATAATAGACATGATACTTTTTTTTTCCTTTATACACATGTACTCTCCAAATCAACCTGGACTGCCACACAGACAGACAGGAAGTGCGGAGAGCATTTTCTTTGGCATCCTAGTGCAAACTAGAAGAATCACACATATGATACTTTTGTAGTCATAAAATTCACAATAAAGATGTAAAAATTGGCATTGATTATCTACTAATTGTGTGAAATAACAGATAGTTTGCTGATGATGTAGAAAAAGGAAAAGCACCTATCACTTCTATATTTAGTCCTTCATTTAAAATGTTCAAATTTGATGGCATATTGTGCTTGGTAATTTACATTTATACAAATACATTTTCAGATTATCTACATGTCTATCCTATGACATATGCAATGGAATCTATATTACCTTTTCCATTCTTAACTCTAAGAATTTATTGCTGCTTTATAGAATTAAGTATATGACTTAGTGCTTTATAATATGGAAGTTCCTCTGGACAGATTTTATTTCAAATACATTATTGACCTATGTCCAGATTCCTCCAATGTCTTATTAACTGTGCACTTGAAAACAGTATGCACTTACCTTTTTACACACAAAGTCACCAGGTAAATAAATAGTGGATTTCAATCTTAGCAGTAGGTCATAAATCATCTGTGTGTCACAGCCCTATAGAAGGAGAACAATAATTTTACAGACATGGTCAAAAGCAAACATCCTAAATTAGTGTAAAAATAAAAAAAGTAAGTAGTTAATAGTCATCCATCTTCCTCTCCAAGGCTAACTTTATGGACTTGCCTTTATCTAAGCTCTATAGAGAAAAGATACCAATATCAAGAGATTGTAACTTGATAAATATTTGGAGTGAGTCCTGTCTCTCAGACCTATTGGTATTCAATCATGTTCTTGTTCTCCTAAATTATAAAATGGCTATGAAAAAAATACTCATAAATGAAACTTACATGGTACTTAATGACAGTTATTAAAGATTATGTTTATGACATGTTCAGATTATCATAACTCACAGTATTTGCTAAACAGCTTTCTTTTGTAAAACAACATTACTAAAATTTTTGATATTATTTAACTCTTTAAACTTATGTATATGTCTTTCTTCTCCAACATAATGATCTTCTTAAAGATGGGAAGATACTAATGAAAGCAGTATCTGCTGCACTTAACATATTGGTTGAAACAAGGGAGCCTCCATCAGACTACCTGAAGCCCTCTACATATATGTGACAGTTGTATAGCTTGGTATATTTGTGAGACTCATAACAATGGGACCCGGACTGTTTCTAATGCTTTGACTGGCTCTTGGGAACCTATTCCTCACACTGGGTTGCCTTGCTCAGTATAAATACAAGGGAGGGAGCTTAACTTTTCAGAAACTTGATATGCTATACTTTGGTGATACCTGTGGGATGACTGCCCATTTCAAAACAGAAACAGAGGAGCAATGGATTGAGACTGGGGGATAGAAGGGAAGAGGAAGGGAATTGGAGAAGAGGAGGGAGGGAAAACTGGTCTGGAAGCAAAACAAATAAATTTTAAAAAGTAAAGTATTGTTTATTAAAGTAAAGTACTTTATTGTGACTGCCTGTTTCACACAGTCACCTTTTAGTGACCACTGGCTTATGGCTGACAATAGAGACAATCTACTAGTCTCACCCAACTATGTTCTATATGCTCTGTGCAGTGTGATTTTTTCTTTTATTGAAGATAGATTTTTAGATTCTTTTGCCATACAATATATTCTGATTATAGTTTCCCCTCCCTCTATTCCTCCTAGTTACTCTCCACCTCTTCTCCCCTCCAGATACACTCCTGTGTGTCTCTCATTAGAAAAGGACAGGCTTCTGAGAGATAACAAAATACAAAATAAGAAAAAACTATCACATCGAAGTTGGACACAGCAAGCCAAAAGAAGAAAAAAGTTCCAAGAGCAGGCACAAGAGTCGGAGACCACTTGTTCTCACAGTCAGGAGTTCACCAAAAATACTAAGCTAATAGTTATCATATATTTGCAGAGAACCTGTTGCAGACCCCTGAAGGCCATGTACTTGCAGTTTGAGTCTCTAGGAGCTCATATGTGTCTTGCTTAGTTGAGTCAGAGGTCCTGTTCTCCTGGTGTTTTCCATCTCTCCTGGCTCTTATAATCTTTCCAGTTCCTCCATTTGATTCACTGAACTCGGAGGGGAGAGATTTTATTTAGAACTCCTCTTTTTTACACATAATGACTGGGAGGGGTGTCTCTAAATCTGTTCCCCTCTGCTGCTGGAGGAAGCCTCTCTGATGATGAATGGCTAAGACACTGATCTATGAATATAGCAGAATATCTTTAGGATTTGTTTTATTGAGTTTTTGGTCAAGTTTATTATTATTATTATTATTATTATTATTTGTTTTACCCTACGTCTCTGGGCTATCTAGTCTTTGATTCTTGGTTACTCAAGCAGTGTTGGGTATGGGCTTCTTATGGAGTGGGTTGTAAGTAAAATCAGACATTTGTTGGCTATTCCCACTAGTTCTGTGCCAACTTTGCCCTAGTATATCTTGAAAAGAGGACAGGTTGTAGGTCAAAGTCTTTGTGTCTGGGTTGGTGTCCAACTTTCTCTTTCAGTAACCTACTTAATGCCTTACCTTACCAAAGAGATTAGAACTTTGGAAGGAAGGCTTTATTTATATACTAGCTCAACTATTCCATGTTCAATGAGCTGTTGTCCTTGGCAACTGTTAGTTTGCAGAGAGCAACCCTTTATCTTCACGTCAGCCTGGATTGTTTGCAAATTTCCATAAGACCCCTTTGGCCAACAACTCAACTGAATGCAGCTCAGTCCCTCTACTAGAAGCCTTGCTTGACTACAAGAGATAACTAGGTGACACTTTGTATTCCCCATTACTAGGAGTCCGCATTATATCACCTTCATAAATTGCAGGGAATTTCCATTGCACTAGGTTTCCATGCCACCCCCAAATGTCCCCAATTCCAGACATCTCTCCCTACATTCTATCTCTCCAAGCCACCCCCAGCTTGATCCTTCATACTCCAATCCCTGCCATCCCCAGTCTCTCCATAAAATCTATTCTATTTCACCTTCCCAGGGAGATCCATAAGCCCCCCAACCCCTCCTCTTTACCTAACTTCTCTGCACCTAAAGATTTTGTTTAGTTATAATTTACTTAATGCTTAATTCCACTTATAAGTGAATACATACCATTTGTCTTTCTGTGTCTGGGTTACGTCACTTAGAATGAACTTTTTGAGTATCATCCATTTGACTGTGATGTCATTTTTTTAAACAGTTGAATAATACTCCATTGCATAAATGTACATGTTTTTTAAAAATCTATTCTTCTATTAAGGGACATCTAGGTCATTTAGTTTCTAGCTATTATGAATAAAGCTAAAGTGAGCATGGTTGAACAAGTGTCCTTGAGGTAAGATGGAGAGTACTTTGGCTATATGTGCAAGAGTGGTATATCTGGGTCAGGAGGTAAACCAATTCTCAATTTCCTGAGGAGCCACCATATTGATTTTCACAGTGGCTATACAAATTTGCACTCTCATCAGCAATGGAAGAGTGTTTTTCTTACTCCACATTCTCACCCCATTTTTAATTTAGATTATTTGTAGCTTTTGATATCTAGTTTCTTGAGTTCTTTATATATTTTCAATATTAGTCCTCTATCAGATGTGGAGTTGGTAAAAATCTTTTCCCATTCTGTAGGCTGTTGCCTTGTTTGATTGGCAGTGTCCTTTGCTTTATAGAAGCTTGTCAGGTTCATGAGGTCCCATGTTTTAATTGTTGATCTTAGTGCCTGTGCTACCTGTGTTCTGTTTAGAAAGTGTCTCCTGTGACAATGAATTAGAGGCTAGTCCCCACTTTTCTGCTACCAGGGTCAGTGTATCTTCTTTATGTTGAGGTCTCTGATCCACTTGGACTTTAGCTTTATGCAAGGTGGTGTATATGGATCTACTTATATTCTTTTACATGCAGACATCATATTTGCCCAGTATCATTTGTTAAAGATATTTTATTTTTCCCCATGTATATTTATGACTTCTTCATAAAAAATCAAGTCTCCATAGGTGTGTGAACTTACTTCTGGGTCTTTGATTCAATACTGTTGATCAATATGTCTGTTTTTATGCTAATTCATATAGGTTTTATTACTGTAGCTCCGTAATACATCATGAAATCAAGAATGGTGATACCTCCAGCAGTTCTCTTGTTGTTCAGGATTGTTTTAGATATCCTGGATTTTTTTTGTTAATATGAAGTGGAGAATTGTGTTGTAATTTTTATGGGGATGTATTGAATGTATAGATTGTTCTGATAGGATGACTATTTTTTACTGTGTTAAGCCTACCAATCCATGAGCATGGGAGACATTTCCATTTTCTGGTATATTCTTCAATTTATTACTTCAAAGACTTGAAACTTTTAATCATACAAATCTTTCACTTTCTTAGAGCTACCCTAAGATATTTGATATTACTTGAGGCTATTGTGAAAGGCATTGTTTCCATGATTTCTTTCTCAGTCTGTTTGCCATTTGTTTATAAAGGGAGGGGAGCTACTGATTTCTTTTGAGTTGTATCCTAAATCTTGTATCCTAAAATTTGCTAAAAGTATTTATCAGCTATAGGAGTTCTATGGTGGAAATTTTAGGGTCAGTCATGTATACTTTTGTATCATTTTCAAATAATGATACGTTGACGTCTTCTTTCCAATTTGTATATCCTTGATGTCCATCAGTTGTCTTATTGCTCATGCTTAAACTTCAAGTATGTATTGACTTGATATGGAGAGAGTGGACAGCCTTGTCTTGTTCCTGACGTTAGTGAATTGCTTTGGGATCCCCTCTATTTAATCTGATGTTGGGTATAGGCTTGCTGTATTATGTTTAAGGATATCCCTTATGTCCCTGATTGCTCTGTGACTTTTATGATGAAGGGGTGTTTGATTTTGTCAAACACCTTGAATATGTGGATTTTTTTCTTCAGTTGTTCATATGGTTGATTACATGGTATAGGAGGTTCTTCTGTATTTATGCTGCTTTTGTTGGTTGAATAAAGATACTGTCTTGGCCTTTTGATATGGCAGCCCTTAGGTGGACAGAGTAGACAGAATAGGAAGAAGGGAAGTATGACAGACGCCATGATTCTCCTGCC